ACCACCCTCTGCTCCCAATCCCCCTTCCCACTTTATTTTTCTCCATAGCATTTATCATCTTCTACCATGCTATATAATCAAAAACTTGTGGAGGTTTTATTAGTTCTCTTCATAAGCTCCATGGAGACAGAAGGCATTTCCTTCTGTTTGTCTCCCTGATTTATTCTCAGTACCAAGAACAGAGCCTGGGAACAGGGACCTAAATAAATTTATAAATGTGCAGAGAGCAAAAGACTGAGGCTTTTACTTCCTCATCATCCCAGACAAGTTCAGAACAAGAGAGATGCCACCTAATCTATTTGTCATTCCAAAAGGAAGAACCATGAATATATGGATCTCTCATGTAATCTCTATTAGACTCAATGTAATTCTTATAATTCTCACATCAATAAATGTGCTTTCACCCTAAACTCTGGGACAATCTAATATTCCTACTAAATTTTTCTACAAAATTCACTTGGATCATGCACTGGGATGACCAGAGCTCCCTATAGTGTCCCTTATCAGCAAAGCCTGTCTTCTTTATCCTCAGTTTTTTCCACACTTTCATCCCCTTCTGAGATATTAGTGGATTCTTGTTCTTCCATTCATTCCCCCGGCTATGAGAACTGGTTACTGCCATCCCTCTCCCCATTCTACCAGGCTTTCACCAGCCAAGCTTTTTAATAAACTCTGCCGACTCTGTTGGTTAAGAATGATATGACCTCTAGATTCATACTGCCTGGATCCAGGGTTCCCCCACCTTCCAGATGGGGGTCCCTTAGCTTGTTGCTTAATCATTGTATGCTTCAGTATCCTCAGGTGGTACACGGCACTTGGTGCACCTTAGACATGAAAAGCCCTATGCCTAGCACATTATTAAGGACTCAAGAAACAGAAAATATTATCACTCCATAAGTCCCAATGTCCCTGTCTCTCACCTCTGTCATTGACAGCTGTGTTGTACTTAATATTGCCATCCTAGTCCTTCCAAGAATTACAGCATTCTTAAAGTCTGGCCTTCTTTTTCCACTTTGAAAGTCTTTGGTAAGTGGAATTACAGCTATAAAATGTATTATATCCCAGGACTTAGGGATGACCCATCTGGGGCTAGAGTGGGAAAGGAGGAAGAATTAAGCCACCACTCAGAAGAAGTATCCATAGATATGCCTAATAGCCCTATGTCCCAATGGAGAAAAACATTGTGTAACTCTCCAAACATGAGGAAACATGAAACATGTTTTTCATGAAACGAGGTTTTTAATTGTAAAATATAAGTCATTATCTTATTTGCTTTGCAAAAGATTGGGACTGGGGGGTTGGAGAGTTTGGTTTGATGGTAATGTTTTGTTTTGATTTACTTTATTTTGAAATTAAGATAGAAACCAAGCAAAGATAATCTGTGAGCACCACCTTGTGGAAAAATCTACAACCATCATATTTGAACATTTATCAATCTTCGTTCATTGAACACATATTAATATGCCAACACTGAGGGTAGAGTTTTGTCTGTTTACTTAACAGACAAAAATCTCTGGTTTCATGGAACTTTTGTTTATGGAAAGACTGAAAATAAACAAGATCAAGACATGAAACACATAACACATTCAATGTAGATAAGTGCTCTAGAGGAAAAACAAAACAAGGACTAATGGGGACCATTTAAAACCAAATGATCCAAGAAAGCCTCTGAAAAGGTGATATTCAGGCCTAACTAACTAAAATGGTGCAGTTACCTAGGGCCAGAGCCATCTAGACAACATGAAACATGCAAATTCCTGAATGCAAAGGTGCATGGTGACTTTAAGGAGAGGCACTGAGGGCCATGTTCAAAGGCAAAATGAAGGAGATGAAGACTGAATTAAGCAGGAGACCAGCCCACATGGGGCTTCTCTGATTATAATAAGGATCGGTCTGGCTTCTCTGATTCAGGTGGAAGTTTCAAGAGACTTTGAACAGAAGAGTAAGATGAGCCAACTTATTTTAAAGCAGTATTGCTTTGATTGAAGGGGTCAAAAGCAAAATAAGAGATTCAAGAAAGAGGGACTTCTGCACACACTCTATGAATTTATTAAAGTGCTTAGGGAAACTTTATTGGAGATCAGGACTTAATTCCATCATAGCACAATCTACAACCTTAAATATAAGCTCCGATAGTCACTTTCAGGTACCCTGGGAAACTTTTATCCATGCCTTTTGCCATGTGTGCATTAAATTAAAAAAATAATAAGTGGCCTCTGCTAGATGCTGTTAAGATTAGTAGGTTACACTGTATGGCCACTGATCAGGAGAATGGAAGAAATTGTGCAATGGGTGCATTATTTAGGAGAAATACAACTTAACTTATCAGGCCCTTCCTCTGGAAAGCATAAATGCCACAGATAATCAAGTATTGCATCTCAATTATGTTTAACAGTCATTTTCTTGCTTTTCTGTTGGTTATACTTCATTGTTCTTGACATACTCATGAGTTGCATATGACATACTCATGAGTTGCATAGCATTTGAAAAAGTCTCACATTTAATAGCTAAAGGATATTATTCAATATTAAACAATTTATGGTACTCAAATTTATATTTATGTAAGTCCAGACAGAAAATCCATGACGGATCTAGCTTTTAAAATACTGTTTTAAGAGACAACGAAATGACAATATAAGTTACCACTGGTTTATGTGATGAAATTTAATATTTTTACACTGTCTAAAATATATATCTTATATAACACCCATCACAATACTTGAACATGATATATAAAATTTCAGGTTCATTCCCAAGCATCAATAGTTCAACTGAACAAATTTCTCTAAATTGAAATCGTAACATTTTTTTTCTGAAATTAAGCTTTAAAAATAATATCTATGAAATAAACAATAGTAATTCATGAATTAATAGCTTTTTCTTACTATTTATCCAATTGTAATCTGCCTATTAATCACACATGCACAATAGTAGCTCGACATCTTTGCTATTTTGTTTACTGTTATATTAAAAATATTTTTAATGTTTTTCCATAAAAAGCACGTATTTCAAAATAGGAGTATAGAACATATTTTAAACTACTGTTAGTTTGGTTTTTAAGTTTAAATATTTAGATGTATAGTTTATGGATTCTGTTATGGTTTGGATGTGAGGTATCCCTCAAAAGCTCAGGTGTGAGACAGTGCAAGAGGGTTCAGAGGAGAAATGATTAGTTTGTAAGAGTCTTAACCCAATCAGTAGATTAATCCCCTAATAGGGATTAACTGAGTGTAACTGAAATGGTAGGGTATGGCTAGAGGAGGTGGGAATTAGGGCATGGTTTGGATGTATATTTATATCTGGAGAGTGGAGTCACTCTTCCTGCTTCCTGATCACCATAATGGGAGCTGTTTCCCTCTGCCACACTTTCCCACCACATTGTTCAGCCTGACCTCGAGCCACAAGAAATGGAGCCGGCCTTCTGTGGACTAAGACCTCTGAAACCATGAGCCCCCAAATAAACTTTTCCTCCTTTAAAATTGTTCTGGTCAGCTCCTTTAGTCACAGTAGTGGGAAAAGCTAACTAAAACAATTCCCATTTGCATTTTGGTCCTCTTAAATGTTAGGGAGATCCAGTTAGGATATTCTTGCAATAGTCTGGGCAATAAGTTATGTAGCTTGATCAGGGTTGTGGTCGTGGAGATGTGAGAAGTCATCAAACTCTGTACATCTTGAAAGAGGCACTAAAGGATTTTCTGACAAATCAGATTTAACTCAAAAGAGGAAAATTAAGTGACACAAGTTTTTGGCCTGAACAACTAGACAGAAGTTGTCATTATATGAGTTAAGGAAGAATGTGGGAGGAACATTTATGGGGATTTCAGAAGTTCAACTTTGTTGTGTTAAGCTCAGATGTTAGTTTAACTCTTAGCCATTAGTAGTCATTAGGGTAGGAATAGGAAAGTGATTATATTCAAATCCTTGGGATGAGCGAGATCCACTCTTGGCCTTTTGCTTTCATCAATTAGGAGACATGATATATTGAAAGAAGGGAACACTCTATTGTGACAGTTCTCTACCTTAATAGCAGAAAGTGTCAAAGAACCTGGAACTCATCTCCCAAAACCATTCCCACAGGCTAGTAATTTCCTTCCTTTGGATGCCCTGGGGAAAGCTCACAATTACCATCAATCCTGGGTACTAACCCCGAGGTCTTAACTTCTAACTTCCTGTAAAACATCCTCCACAAACATAGGTATAAGACACTGTCAGATATCACAAAACCTACACATGAATTATTGCTCTCTTAATGGTTCTCTGCCCGATTGCCTTTTATGTCAAATGCTTTGGTGTGATTTATTTTCTTTTGTCTTCCTAGGTGAGTTGGATGACCCAATGGTGGAGAAGATATAAAGAAAAAGATCAAACATAGAAGCAAACAAGGAAACAAACTAAGTTCCTAAATCTCTTCACTATCTAATCCTTAAATTAAAAAACAAAGAAAATTTCCAGTGTAAGCATGTCTTTTTTAATTACTTGCAAGTTATGTTCTTTCTGACAGAAACAGGCACAGCCACTACTCAAGTCATATCATGACCTAAACAGAAAAGAACTGATAAAGGAAGAGAGAAATGTCAAGAGTGAACTTCACCTCAGTCTTATTTAAAAAAAAAAAAAAAAAAAATCCTTGGATGAGAAACTAATGCACTATTTCCAAAATTAACCTCCTATAGGACATTGTCCCACGGGCTAGTACTTGATATGTTCTAAATACACAATGAACTTGGGATCACTGAATAAAACAAAGTTAATATGATTTCTTTTCTGTGGGAATGTCAGAGACTACACTATGGGCTTTATGAATCTTTAGGAGGTAGATATAGAATACAGCACATTCAACATGTATTTGAAGCAAAACCTACTTTTTCAAGTGATTCATAATAGCAATGTCCAGAAATGGTGTTCCTCTGGACAGTTTGGGAAACACTGTTCTGATATACATATGGATGAGAATCCTAAAAGTGAATATTTGCCAAAGTTGGCAGAGCAAAACCATAAAGTTTCCTATCACCCACTCCCTCATTTGACACACCAAAATTTACAAATCTGCATATCTACCTTCACAGAACAAAATTCAGTTTGAATTCAATAAATTCACTTTTTTAAAAAATGAAGCTGCTGAATTATCCAATATTCACAGTTATTAAATATTCACATTGCAAATGAATTCCCAATCTCCCACCTGCTCCAGCAATGTTATCACTGAATAACTGGAATTAATTATTCTCGAGATGATAATAATGATGCCAAAGAGTTTATCCTAATTAAATGTTCCACCATGAAGAAAGAACTGAAATTTAGATCAGTAATGATTTAATTTTATTCTTTAATCTTTTAGGGACATTCAGTTCTTGTAAGCACAATAATTTGATGAAGGGTTGCATCATTTCTATGATTGAGCTATATCTTTTTATCAACGTTCTTTTTCCATTTTACCAAACACTCTTGTCCACATAATACAGGTTTTATGGAAAAACCCTTACACATGATAAATTTTAAACATATTTTAGATAATCTTTGCCACTCTTTCCATGCATTTCCACTGAATTAAACTAATGTGAGAATGAAACTGACATGAGAATTCCACCAAGAGAATCAGAAACTTCAAGAAAGACCTTTCGTGATAGTTTGTCAGCTATTAACACACAGTTATATGAGGTATAAAAATATTTAGAAGAATATATTTATTAATTATAAATCTCATTCATATTTTCCATGAAGACATTAATCCTTTAAATAGTTATTGAGTGATTAATAAGTAATGTCATTATAATGCTAAACAAAAAATGTCAGCTACAGAGTTAGTAGACATATGTTCTCAATTGTTTAAAAGAAGATGCCTTAGAATAGAAATACTAATTGAATCTACACAATTATGTAATTTTTCTGTATTATTGTTTTAATCATGAAAAAAATGGAAGTTTTTTGTTTTGTTTTTTTTTAAGTTCACTTCTACATGTCAATACTTATTCCACTAAACCCAACTACAGTGTCCAATACCCAAATTTATGGTGAAATTCCAGGAGTTTTCTCTGGGTACAAAAGGAACCCAGTAAAAATGCTGTCATCCTCAGCACTGGAATAAACCCCATTCCAATCTTTTGACAATTCCAGCCACACTTGATCTCCTGCACTTAATTTCAGGATGATGAGGAGAGAGGCCTGGTCTATTTCCTGACCGTAGAGAGTGTCTCTGGACTTGAACTGCTTCTTATTCTGGGCCACCAGGCTGATCCGAGCAGGTCGACCCTTCACAGTAACATGGTAAGAAAAGACGTATGTCCCAGGGATGCTGCAGTTAAATTTCCCAGTGGCAGGGTTGTAATCCCCTTGGTCATTATATAAAATCTTGTCAAATTTGATGGGGATGTTGGGAGGAGGGAATGGCTTTGATAAAGCAGCGCTGAAAGCCGACTGCAGGAGTTTGGCGACCTCGCCCTTGGAGCCCTTGAAGCCCCGTGAGCCCTTCTTCCCAATAGGTCCTCGGACCCCTTTGTTCCCAAGCTCACCCTTTGGCCCAGTAGGTCCCAAAAGACCAGGAGGACCTAACTCCCCTTTTTCTCCTTTAACCCCTGGATCACCTTTAGCGCCAGGCAGACCATCGGGGCCCCTTTTGCCTTCTGTCCCAGTGTCTCCTTTGCTACCTTTATCTCCTTTTACCCCCTCCTCCCCTTTTTGCCCTTTTGCTCCCCTCTCTCCAGAATCTCCGCAGTAGCCTTTCTGTCCCACCTCCCCCTTCTCTCCTTTGGCTCCAGGCCCTCCGTTCAATCCTGGAGAGCCCACAGCCCCGGGGTCTCCTTTATCTCCTTTGGTGCCATTTTCACATGGGTCTCCCTTTGAGCCTTTTTGTCCTTTAACTCCTGCCAAGCCAATGTTTCCTTTATCCCCCTTAGGACCAAGTCCACCTGAAATGAAAAATTAAAATAACATTTAAGGATCACAAAAGCCAAACAAGATGCCATTACCACAGAGCTCAAAAAATAGGAATAAAATTTACTTCCCTGGACATGGAAACCCCTTCTTGCCTGGCAGAGGCTGTGCCTGGCAGCCATAAATGCAATGAGCAATTTATAACATATCATAATCCCAGAAAGAGAAAAGTTTGTGCTTCCAAGAAACAATAGCTTACATCCAGAATTCACATATCTACTTCTTTTTTTCCACCTTTAAGATAATAAAGAATATTAAAATATTTTTGCTTACAATATAAAATTAATTACCCTTTGTATTTTGACCCATCTCAAGTATTCTCCTAAATCTCCATATTGTCTATCCAAACCCAAAATCTTACAAGGCATAGAAACTAAAACCAAAAAAATTGACAGCTAGAGAGAGAGGAACAGAGCTCAGATATCTTTACCTCATCTCTAAATTCCTAGACCTATTTCAATCAGCACACTAAATTATTCGAAAAATAGTAGTAATTTATATTTCCATCTTACTTCTCTGAAAACTTTAAATACAAACAGGAAAAGAATGAGGGCTTTACAGCATTCATGATGGTGCACAATTATATATTTTGTATTGTACCTGGTTCTCCAGGTTTTCCTGGATATCCTGGAACTCCGCTTGTCCCTTGGTCCCCACGCTCTCCTTTTACTCCTAAAATGATACCAAGATTAACTTTTTTCCAACTATGTCATTTATGATATATCTAAAACATCCCTTTCACAACTATGTCACATTCCAGTGTTTCCTTTAACCAAAATGGTTTAAAGGTAAAATAATGTGAAAAGGGAATTTATTGAAGGCGATTGTGAATGCCAATCCCTCAAATAGACTTCATTTTGCCTATGGCATTTCCAGGACTCCTCAAACTCCTCATCACATCCTGCATATCTTGCATATGTATGTGGTTATGCTTATTTTATTATAAATTTTAAATGACAGTTCAGTTGTCTTCTTTATATGCCCACCATGCCTCAGTAAAGCACAGAACATGGTATTCTGCAATTAGCTAAAACTAGTCATAACAAAAATCCATCCAGGAATGAAAAATTATCCCTGACTTAGAACATGAAAGAAAAGTCAATTTTCATTACATGTTGGAATAATTTTCAAATGTTCTTTGGACAAATTATAAGACTATGAGAAATCATATTTGAAGAACATTGAAAGATTTGGATTTGCAGATATTTGCCATGTTACAATAAAATGGATTTTGCATTGTCCTATCTTGTTAAGTCTATCACAGACTCACTTTGATTATAAAAGACAATAGCAATAATAGTAGTATTAAAAACAGTTAACTTGTATTGACAATTTGTGCCAAATACTGTTCCAAGCTCTTAACATTTTTTAACTTACCCTGGACATTTTTTAACTTCATATAATTTTATTAAATATTAATACTACCTTTTATGTAACAAGAAGGCTCTATAACAGCATATTTCATCAATTTGAACACTTATAATTTACAAAGCTTAAAACACATCCCCTTCAAAAATGGTAGAGCAAATATTTTTGTTTTCACTTTTGCCAGAAGAACATGAGATATGAAAAAAATAAAAATTTGCACAGAGTCAAACATGACTGTATATTACCTTCTTTGGCATCTATTCGCCAACTTTATTATTTATATTATGACTAACAATTTTGCTTCATTTTTAATCATAAAAAATAAACCCTAAATCAAATTAAAAGTGATGAAAATAAATTCCCCTAATTTCACAGTACCCACTAAAGAAATCCTATGAGGTCTAAGTAGCCACTTCCTCTATTACCACTCCACAGAAAATACAAAATTAGAAATTAACTCATAGGCCATCAAGAAAATATCCAGATACATTTTGAGAGAACCCAACCAGAATGGAAGTGAAGGCCCAAGCCTATTCCAGTCCATGCTAATAATATAACATTGACCTTCACTCACAGAGTTATTTAAGTTTTCAAGTTTATTTAAGGGGTTTCATTGCTTGTAGTGAATTAATCAAGTAGTCATTAGCCAGAATGTAACCATTCTACTCATTTTATTTTATTTTTTTTAACTTTCAATCTTAGCCATGAGTCCAAGGTAAGTCTGGAAGTAAAAGGAGAGTTTCCACTTTATAGAGAGTTGGCTGAATGAATCTCTACTTTTGATCCTTCATCAAAGCATATTTTTAAGAACCTTATGATACTTCCCTATATTTTCTTCTACTTCCAGAAGTCTAGCTTCCAGAATATATGAATCACTGGGGAGGTTCATCACTCATCTTTATTTCACAGGGTTTCTGCTAACATAATTCAGCCACAAAAGGATTAAATGTTTCTGAGAATGAAAATCGCATAACTGACAAGTGTGAAGTAGCTCTTTCTTACCTTAGCGTCTTTTTTGAGTAATTACTTCACTGAATGTTCTAGCAGAAATGAGTTAGGCAGTTCCTGAGCCATGTGGAGGGTGATGTATAGATGATATTAGGTCTTTTGACATGTGACACTAAAGCTCAAACATTGAACTTGATGAATAGATGGTATTTCTACAGGCTGCTCCTATTCACTGAGGAATTTCTCAATGTCCCAGTGAATCTGTAATCTTCCCTCAGTACCTTGGAGCACTTACAGACCCAGGGATTTCCTGGGGCAGGAAAGCCTTCTTTACTGACACACCTATGGAATTATAGGATTTTTGAGCTGGAAAAGATCTATGAAAGCACTCATAACTACAAATCTTCTTTGATAGTAAACAGGGGTATAAATAAGTATCAAGTTCATTCCCCTCAATTTCCAGGCAAAGTAAAGCCACTGGTCCAAAGTCACCATTATATGCTTAATACTTCTGTTTTAATTCATGGCTCTGCACCCCATCAATACTGCCTCTGTTTTTAGTGAGTCACTGGAGATGGCAAGTTCTCCTTAGCAGTCAGGCTATCCACCTAAATTGAATATTGTAGAGCTTGCCGGCTCTATTTAGTTCTATTTACTATGAAATTAATTTGCATCATAAGTAAGAGCCCACCTGGAGTATGTAGGAAAGCACCCTTCCCAAGAGACTATACTTTGTGGTTTCCAGTCACTGGGTCAACCAGATGTCCAATCAGAAATAGGAAAGTTGTGTAACTCTGTGTGTGTGGTTTTTTTTGTGTGTGTGTGTATGTGTGTGTGTGTGTGTTGTTCCCAGACCAGTTTAGAATTTCTAAATTAGAAATTTCTAAATTTCTACTTACAAAGATAATAATTCTATATCAAATGAATTCACAATATACTTTACCAAGTACTTAAATATTTAAAAACTGACATAACTTCAAGAATCAAGAAATTACTTAGAAAATTATTCTCCTTAAAAATGATGCAAAATGTCCCTTGAGGTTTTGGCATGAAATGAAATTAATTACTTACCTTTCTCTCCTTTCTGGCCTTTTGAGCCTTGGGGTCCAATGACTCCTTGTGATCCTGGGATCCCCATATTACCAGTCTCTCCTTTAAGACCTGGAAACAGGGGTTTAAAACTATCAATATAGAAAAAAAAATCTCTTTTGAAATTCGTTAGTTAGGGGACAAGGGGGACAGTCATTTTTTTTTAAACTAATAACTGTCAATGTTCTAATCATAAAATCAGGTGAGAATAAACTATTACAGAGTTCTAAGGGCAATATTTTTGTCTGATTTGCAATTTTGTACACCTGAATAGATAAATTGAGCCCATTAGTACTTGTCACTGTATTCATGGCAGTGATCAAATGATTCAGGGAAGCGGCACTACATCAAACAGCAAGAACAAAATAATTACCTGACACTAAAACTCATATGGACCACACTTTCAAATTGGAAGCAAAAACATAATACCTAGCACTTTTAGATTTCCCATTCATCCACATATTCATTCATTCAGGAACTATTTCTGAGGTGTCTTATACACCAAGCACCTCACACACACACACACACACACACACACACACACACATACACACAAACACACACACACCCTGCTAGTGTTAGGAACACAGCCATTAACATGCCAGCAATCCCAATCCCCAAAAGCTGAGACTCCATGAAAGATAAGCATTGAATAGATAGCTATATAAAGAAATCAAAATTGCCACACTGTAGTTGATGATATAAAGAAAAATAGGAAGGTCCTATTGTATGATAGGGTAAAAAAAGAACCTAACTTATATTTGTGGGATCAGAGGAGAGATCCCTGAGAAAAGACTCAATGAATGCACTAGGATTTTCTGAAGCAAAAAATAGCAGGTAGTTATTTTAAGAAAGTAAGAATTAAAAAGACCATAGTGTTTTTAAGCAACTGAAAAATAGGGGGGCACTATGGGTGGAAATAGTGGTCAAGGATAAGAGGAGGCTGAGAAGCAGGCAAGGGTCAGATCACACAAGGATCAGACTTCATTGAGTGTCCTTGTTCACCAGGGCAATTCAGTTCCCTTCCACTTACCTGGACCACAGAGGGATCCTAAGCCTAGGAAAATTATTCTTCCTGAAACCCCAGTCCTATTCCAGACATATGAATCACTTTCCAATTGGAATAATTTAAGGTCAGTTTCTTTGAAATTTAACCATATAAATAAGTACATTCAACAAAATTATAATACTTCACCTTAATATAATTAAGGCTGATGGAATAGGATGAAATTATATTCAATAGAATTCCTCTTTGAAAAAAATACAGTATTTGTTTGGAAGAAAACCTTTAATAAATTGTTTGCAATGGAAATTAAGGCTGAAGGCAAGGTCAAATAACCAAGGGCTGATGGATAAGCTCTTCTGTCTAGAAAAGAGAAGATTACATGGAGGAGAAAGAGATGGAGAAAGAAGAAGCAGAGAAGGTGGGAGCAAGCAAAATGGTCAATTTCATTTCCCTGTGCAATACCCACCTCCCCATGGCCCCCCAAAGGCTCAATGTGGTCACACTATTGAGGGCTGTGATAAAGTGCTGTCCCAGGTGACACCGGGAACACAAAAATAACTATACATGAAGCTACAGGGAAGAGGAAGGCTGCCTCTTTCATCCCGGTAAATTGTGTGTCTGGGTTTGATTTTCGTAATTACCATGAAACTAAACATGAAGGGAAAAGCTGAGGCTTCAAGGTCACAAATTGATTTTGACTCCAGGTTCTGCACTCACAGGTGCTACAACCTCTAGATTTACCAAACATTCCCTAGACTGTGACCAAATCATCAGGTGAAATGCAATGATATTTTTAACATTTCTATAAAGATTTGAAATAAAATAAAATGCCAACCATTCTTGACATGTAGTACCTACAATCATAATTGAACTAAAGAGAGAAGCAGAAGATAAAACTTTAAAATAGAATTTTTAACCTTTGCTGATTATTAGATATATCTGAATATTTCAAGATGTTTTCATTCAGAAAGTTTATAAAGTTAGACTAGTGACTTTTAAAAGCAGATAATGCAAAATGTGATATTTGCAATGTGCATGTTTATGTGTTCATGTGACCAAGGTCTGAAAATTAATAAAGGAGAATTGAAATGGTTGGATTTTAGTAGCCTTGTTTTTCTTTTTCAAATTTGTTCAATGTTGCTCTTAGATTTCTAATGAGAGAGAGGAGAGCAGAGTGGAGAGGAGTGAAGGGGAGGGGAAGAGAGGAAGAAGTAATATCTTTAAAAATACTAATATCTGGAACATATGTCTCTTTCTGAATCTCAAAAGCAGTATCCTGTCATATAAGCTTCCAAGTATTCCACAAGACAGGTCCATACTCCTACCATAGATAACTGGAAAGATAAAAATGATTATCTGAGTATTTATTTTATCCCAGGCACCGCAATGAGTTCTTGTGTGTATCTCTTTCTTCTTGAGGATTCTGTGAAGTCAGTATCATTGTTATCACATGTTACCATTTTGGAAACTGAGACTGACAGAAGTAATGAAGCTTCTCTAGGGTAAGACCATGATAGAATCAATGTTTTTAGCCTTTAAGCACTGTCCAGTCAGACTAAAACAGGCTAATAACTTGACATCTTCAAAATATTTGTCACATAGGATTAGAGGAGGGGTTGAACTCTAAGAACAGCCCAGTCAAATCCATGACTGGGTAAAACAAAAGCCCCTATTGTAGACTTCAAAGCCTTAGATGACAGCTTAGCAACCAGTTGTGTCTACTTGACCCTGCCCTTGGGGTTTCCACTCGCAAACAGCTTGCCAGCCAAACAGGATGCTAGGAAAGTTCTGGTAAATATGACTTTCTTAGACTCATCACATTTTGCAAGTTTTAGCAACCTTGAAATCTTGATGCCCCTGGCCACTGCCCATCTCCTTCACCCTTAATCCATCCCCTAATAAATGCTGACTATATATATTAAAAGATCCCGCAATGGGATGAAATGAATGAAAAGCCCGTGAAGATGTATAATTACTGTCTTTATAACTTTCTGTTCTTCAGGCAAGACTCAGCAAACATCGATATGAATTCTTTTCAGGGAAGAGAGAATTTGAAATTGACATTTTGATCTTAATTTTACCTTGAATTCTCTCTGCTACATGACATGTAAAAGTCAAAATGTATTACAATAAAACTGAAAGTATATTCATTACATATATATTAAAGACATCTACAATTTTGAAATAAATAACCACAGTGTTCAATGGAGAAAATTCCTGGGCAAGGACACAGTGTTGCTTCAGAATTTCAATGAGGAGCAAACCGAATCCCGCACTTCATTCTCTACCTCACAGGCATTCCATCTCTAATCCTAACTACAAATAGCACTCAAAAAATCCATCAGTCAGCACACATTCTTACCAGGCAATAGAATTTTCATCTACCTTTTAAAATCAGCCATTAATGAAAAGACTGTACAGATAATAAATGCACTCAGCTTGGAGATCTGGAGCACCAGTACTGAGGTCAGAAATCCCTGCCTTGACTCTAGCCAGAAAGTCCAAGAGAACTTTCTGCAGTGACAGAAATGTTCTATAATACCTGTGCTGTTCAAATGAGTAGTCACTGGCCACATATGGTAATCAGACACTTGAAATGATTGTGGAACTGAATTGCTTATCATATTTAATTTCAGTATTTATTAATAACCACACATATGACTAGGGGTTACCATGTTGGGCAGCACAGCACCCATTTGCATTTGCATTTGTGACAATCTTACCCCTAGGCCTATCACCATCTGCATGACAGTATAAAAATCTTTAGAACAATGCCATCCCCTGACCCACCTCTTCATTGATGTACAAGTGACAAACATGGCTTCCCATATATTTCAAATACCTGGTTTTCCAGTCTTTCCAGGTTCTCCTTTCTGCCCCACAATAGGTGAGCAACAACGACAACAATTCAACAAGAAATCAGCTGTGTCAAGAGTGAGGTTTTCAAAGGAAAAGAGAGTGGCAGTGGCGAAGGCAGACTCCAGGGCTGAGGGGTCAGTGGTTGGTGCCACCACTGCAGGCATTTCCATCAAGGGGTTTTCTTCTTCCTCCTGAGGTGAACCACTGGATGGCTTTAGACCCTTGGGTATCTCTTGTCCTTCATATTTTTTCGTAAATTTGATGTATGGTGTGGTCTTTGCTCTTGTGTCCACACCAGCAATAGCCAAAATAATTAAAATGACCCAAATCCAAGAAAACATCCACATATTTGAGGCTGGAAGAAAGATAGGATAAAAAATAGACACAAATTATATGAGTTTCAATTGAAAAGACTAAGTGAAATAAATATATACTTATATGGGAGAAATATATGCATATGTGAACCATAAGAATGAACAGAATGCATAATATAAAATGATATATTGTTGATATATTTTATATGTAAATGTGTGCTTGAATCAAAACCAAATATTTTATTTACTTGAAGTATTTATTATAAGGAACACTTTGTTTCAGTTCTCCTTTCTGGTTGTTTTCTCAGTGTTACATGTTCTAAAGTAGTATTCTCAATCATTCAAATTATCTTGCCAAATAGCAAACATGATCTATAATAAATGCAACACGACTTAATAGCTCATATACCCTGTGGAAAAAAAATATGTGTAATTTCCTGACTGACCTCACTCAGATTTATAGGAATCAAATATATTTGTATTAAAGAGAGATGAAAAATATTGAACAGAATGTTTTATTCCAGCAAACTCAATTATTTCAAGAAAAAAAAATACTGATGAAATAGTCTTTAAATCTACCAGGGATAATGGTCCTGGTTGTGAGAGCACTCTTTGGGAATCTATTATAATTAACAGAGAGGGAGACAATAAAAAATCATAAATTCGAATATATCCTATGTCCTTAGATTCTTTACATGCCATTTAACTCTTTAATTCTTTGCTTTATAATTTGGGGAGTTTTTCTGAAAACTCACATTTATCCTTGTATTCTTCTAATGGGATAAAGTGTGGTTATTATTATTAAGGTTTTATAAATGTCCAAAGTAAATGATACAAGGTTTGCAATGAAGTGAAATTGTGATAGTTCACAGTATTCCCTTCCCCCATCAACTCCCAGAAGTCTAGTAGCTTCTAACAGACAGCCAAGGTTAGAAATGCATGTTATATGTTAGGAGAAAAAACAATTAAGATAATTAGTAAGAGAATAAAAAGAAAGAAAGAAAATAAGGATAGTAAAAACACCTACTATGCATAGAGTCACTACTATGAGAAGGTGCCTTACATCAATTCAGCCAGTTCTCAAAACAGCTATGCCAGGTAGGTGACATACTTCTTCACCTTCACAGAGGAGGAAGCAGCCAACAAGGGATTACATACCTTGTCCAGGTCACACAGCCAGTAAATTATGGATTTAGGACTTAAATCCAGGATTCTTTAATTTCAAACCCTAAACCCTTTCCACAAATCATGTGTCATTTATAAGGATGGGATTAAAGAACAATAAATCCAAGGGTAGCTCAATGGAACAGAGCTATGGAGGAGACAGATATAAATCAGAGCAGATGAGAAGAGACAAGATAAGACACTTCCTCTCCCAAATCATATAAAGATCCAAAATGTTAACCTTCCTTCTTCCATATTCATCCACTTACTATCAACCATGTCACCAGCAGTGCAGGATTACACATAATGTTGACACCAAACATAACCCATGTTTCTGTTCTTAGGAGCCTACAGTCCAAGAAGGAGCAATGAGAAGCAACAAAAACAAAGAGGGGGAAGTGTGAAAGGCAGTGCATCATGCTGCATTTCTCCAAATACAGATCCCACTCTTACAAACACTATACCCCGAGCAAGTGAACACACCAAACAAGGTTAACAATGCACCTGCCAGTCAAACCAGCCTCCGAAAAAACTAGGATATTGTTTAAATGCAAAGTAATTGAACTTTCAATAGCTCATACAATTGCATTCAATAAAACAATCATTTGTTCAACAAACATTTATTTGAACATCTAAGAAGACTTGTGCTGGGTCCTATAATAGGAAGCCAAGTAAAACCCAGTTCAACCCCTTTAAGAATCTTTTCCACAGTAAACATCCAAATATAACGAGGCCCACATCTTGAGACTATAAAGAAATAGATCTGGCCAAAGGCCCAAAGTGAAATATTAGTGGCTTTTCATTCTCTCACCACTTTACTATAAGAAGCACTGGAGTTTGCAGAACGCTGAGTGTTAAAGCTCTAGGATATTTTCTATGGTATCTGTAAAAAGTGAAGTCACAGGGGAAATAACCTTCCTTTTTCCTTAATAGAACATGTCTGTGTTATTCTTCCATTCCTACAAAATATTTTTGATCCTGGAAGCAAGTTTGTGATAGGATTTTGGTAAACTAGTCCTAAGGGTGCAGGCAAGAGAGGGGTTGAAAGAAAGGAAAGGACTCAACACTGAGAACCCAGCAGGCATTGTTCTCGGCACTTCATAATTGTTATGTCATTTATACCACACAAGAACCATGCAAGATAAGATTTATTATGCACTACAATTGGTTATAAAACGGAGGCACAGAGATGTTAAGTGGCCTGCCCAAGGTGATGGTGTTAGGAAGCAGAGGAGCTGCCATCAAAACATAGGTCCACTTGACTCTGAAGTGTAGTTCCTACTGTGTCATGCTGTGTGGGGATTAATGAGTGATCAGAGATGCTGCAAAAGTAAATGGAAGTTGGACCCTCCATGAAGCTCAACCCTGAGCCATTTGTTGAAAAGTGATCTACTGCAGACAGGAACTGGGAAATTAATGAGAGAGACAAAGAAGAGAAAAGGGAAAAGTCTGGCTCTGACAGTAGAACACATTGGTGCTGGGCAAACAAAGTTACCGAAGGGAACACAGCACATATGACAAGAAGCCAAAAGATTACAGAAAGGAATGGACAGAGCCAACAAGTACAAGGAAGGTGCTCAGTGTCCCTATCTGAGGGCATGAATTGTCTTCATATAAGTTTCTCTTGCATTGTGGGTTCCTGCTTCCCAATTTAAGTATAGATGTTAAAGGATAATGTTGTTGGCACTTTAAAACTGTGAAAAACTCCCCAAACACAAAGCCTTTTGAAGATTGCAGCCAAGTATTGGTAGTAAACTGATGGATGATGAGGACATATCATTTCTTTTTATAATAACAGCATTTTGTGAAAGAGTGCCAGTCCCAAGCCTAGATCTTAGGACATGTGTGTTTCCACTTGCTTTCTTGCCCTTTTGCCATTGCTATCAGAAGGATGTGAATCAGCTAGCTTACTAGTCACCAGAGGAAGATGAGAGACACATGGAGTAGAGTTGCCCTAGCCAAACACACCCTAGAGCAGAGCACCCAAAAGAGGAGGTAAGGCCTCCTGACACAAACTGAGATACAATTTACCTCAGATATTTGTTCCAGTTATCCACTGCTGTTTAACAAGGTAGCCCAAATTCAGTGTCTTAAAACAACAAAACCATTTTATTATGGCTAACAGTTCTGTGGTTCAGATACTCAGGCCTGGATTGGCCAGGTGATTCCTCTGCTCTGTGAGACACTGACAAAGTCATTTAGTAGTGTTCAGCTGATGGGTGGGTCAGTTGGGAGGGACTAACCTACAAATCTGGTGTCTCAATAGAAATGGAAGACTGAACTTGACTTGTACTTGCGATCACATGGTTTACAGGTTTACCAATCTCAACATAGTTTTTCCATAATGGCTCAGGGGTCCCAAAGAGAATGTTTCAAAAACATGGAAGCTCAGGGGCTCAAAATGTTATTCTGAGAACTGCATTTCCCAGAAATTCTTGCCATCAGGATTCCAGTTTAGTTTTTGCCAATGGAAAAAAAAAAGTACATGGAAATATATGAGACAGAATATAGAAAACAATTGTCTCCTGCAAGCAGCAGCTAGTAAATGCATGGGCTTTGGCAGATGTGAAATTTTGTGGTGGCCCTCGGCACAACATCCCACCTTCGTTCTGCAGGTGGCTGTGACTATGAGCAGCAGTATCCTGTGGTTCTTGCCCCAAGCAATAGTAACAATACAGTGACTCCCTGAAAACTAGAGATAAAATTGACAGCTAGTGGCAGACCTCCCTGCCCTTTCCCCTCCCTGCTTCAATGATTGAATAAGCACTTAATTGCCTGTATTAAATCCCTTTCTGCCTAACATACCTACATTGATTCCAGACCAAATCCTATTATCATTTATTCTTCTCCATTTAATTTAACTCTATTTCTATTATTATAAACTCCCAGCCTGCCAGCCTGTCTAATGTCCAATTCTTTATTCTTTTTCCTTAACCCATTAACTCCCCATCCATCCATACCTTTATCTATTACAAAAACAAAAATTTTTGTCAAAATATACCCCCAAATCAGTTTCAGTCATCAAATAATCCATGCCAATATTATATTTCAGTTGTATTGTAAATGTTAATTCCATATAAATAATTTTTAAATAATTTCAGATACATGGTTATGTGTACATATGTTGCATAGGCCAAAAAAGAGGTGATTTTTTTTTACCTAAAGTATATTCTTCCCCTTTGACCCTGTATAGCTATAGAAAATTATAAGATGAAATTAAAAGTCCCTAGCATCCTTTTGCTATTTGAATAGCATGTGAGACTTGAGATCTCTCACAATATTTCATTTAGAGCAGTGTTTTATACTGTGTTTCTTTCCATGCTCATGTTTTTCTTTCTTTCTCTCTTTCTTCCTCTATTTCTTTTTCTTTTGTGTTAGTCAGCTTTTCATTGCTGTGACCAAAATATCCAACAAGATCAACTTGGAGGAGGAAAAGTTTATTTTGGCTCAGAGTATCAAAGGTTCAGTTCATGGTCAGCTGCTTCCACTGCTTTTACATTCAGCCTCACACAAAAATCTCAGGACATGGGCAAATGTAGAGAAGTTCTTTAACAAAATGTGAAATAAATGGCCTCTAGTCTATGCCCAGTAGAATCCTCCTTCCCCTCTGAAACCTCCTAAGCAAAAGCTTTACTGTCTGCATTTTGGTTGGCATTCTTGTCTTCTGCAAACCCAGTAGATTTATCAATTAAGCTCTGCTTAAAACATTCTAAAGCTTCTGCAGCCCACATCTCCAAATTTTCCAGACTCTTCCTATAAACGTTTCCAAAGTGTTCTGAACCACGTGATGGTCAGGTTAGTCATAGTAATGGCCTTACTTCTTAGTACTAATTTCTATGTTAGTCAGATTTGTGTTGCTAAGACCAAAATAACTGAC